TTAAACTGCCTGGTATGCAGTGTCAGGATCGCATCAGTAGCCTTTTGGGCCTCCTGAGGATCATGCCACCTGTCTTCCACCAACTTGAGGAAGTCATCTAATTCTGGGTGACTGCCCAAGCGCGGAAGTCATGACCGTACACCTGTAGCTGCACTAAACCACTCAACCATCTTGCTGCAATCCCCTCTAGATAAGAGGCAGCCACGAGCACTTCCTCGTGCGGCAAGGTAAGTTTGCACTTGACATAGACTGGCACTGCCCTCAACCATGTGTCGAGGTCTTCGCCCCTCTCATCCCTTGTAAAGGGAGCGACAATGGTCGTCTTTGGAACCCACTGACTTTGTCCCGGTACCTGGACCATTCCGGGGTGTGGACCCTGTGGTGCAGGCTGCTGCACTAGCTGCTGCTGGGGCTGTGTACCCTGCGGCTGTGCAGGCTGCGACACAGCAGGTTGCCCGCTTACGGCAACCTGCGACGGAGGTTGGGAGAATACTGTCTGTAGAGGAACCTGTACACTAGGACCTGCTGAGAACCCTCCTGCTAACGGCATACCTAGGGAAGCGGCTTGGACCGATGCTGGGAAGACATATGGGGATACCCCAGTCACCGGTGGGACATAAGGAGGAGGTACAACGGGCCAGGCACCAGGTCCGGGCAGCGATGGTGCTGCCTGCGCTCGCCCGACCAGCAAGGCCAGACTCCGCTGGATGTCCTGAAGGAGAGCCGTGTGGTGGTCCTGCATCTCTACAACACCTAGCAGGGTTGTTCGCAACGTCCTCACATCGTCATCCATGTGCGTCAGTTCCATTCCCTCTAACTCACTAACGTCCGCTTCTCTCCGCTGCATCCTGGCTCTTCTTCTAATCATTCTTTCCTCTTCCGCTTTTATCTCTCCTAAGGCTTTCTGTAGCTGTGCATCCTGCAGTGCTGCCTGCTGTATGGCGATCTCATCGGAAGTCAACACTAATTGCTGGCTTGCCATGACGCCAGTGGACTGACTCAGGCTCTGCACGACCGTTGACCCTACGGTCCCTGAACTGCTAGCCTGGGAACTCTGCTGCGCAGCAGTTGCCATGGCTGCTTAAGTTGCGGCTTCGCTTGCGAATGCCCTGCTGGCCTCTGCTGCCCTAGCTCTCCGCTGCTGCTGCTGCCTCTCCCTTTGCTGGCGGAACAGCAACCTATCACCCTCGGGTCCTAATGCCACGTGGGCAATCGGGCGTCTAGCCGATCGCAGGATCCGGTTGTCCTCACTAGTGGTATCCCTATCCCTCATAAGCTACAGAACTGTACACAATCTGCACTGAGACACTCTTTGATGCTTACCGCAGCGTAGTGCACAGACCGATTTATAATCAAACTAATTAATCGGTGGATGCGTCAGAGAGTATATATATTTGGGTCCAACAGGTATGTTCAGGTTCCTACAAATGAAACTACTTTGACTTTGACTAGTTCGCAAACAGAAGCACAATGAACAGAAAACAGTTCTAAACTATGCTGTCTGTCAGATGTTAATGCCTGTACATCTAACTAATCCTGAGTCCGGGCGGGGCCCGGGTGGGTGGCCCGGGCAAACCGGGCGGGCAAAAAAACAGCCCGGAATTTTTTTTATTTTTTTTTTGAAGGCGGGGTCCTCCTGTGCTCGGCAAG